CTTTAAAAGCACAACTATAATGATGTGGGAAAATACCTGAACAAAGCTGAATAACATACATATAAGTACCCGCAAAAACTTAAGAAAACACACACAGACAGACAGACAGATAGATAGATAGATAGATAGATAGATAGATAGATAGATAGATAGATAGATGTATATATATATATAGAGAGAGATATATAAATTATTGAATAGGGCAGGGATGTCAAACTGGAGGCCCACAGGGTGGATGCATAATGCACAGGACACATCCACCCCAGCTCTGTGAAGGGAAAAAGCGTCACAATACATCACGTGAAGGCTATGTGACACAGCGAGTTCAACACCCGTGGAATAGGGCAAGGCAACATTTTGAATTCAATTCTTATAATATATCCTCACGTGCATGAGGATTAAAAATAATCACTTGCCTGCAACTCATTAAAATAGCTATGTCATTTCCCAGGCCCATACAGCTGATTAAACACATTGCACACCAGATATTATGTTTAAAACATTCTCCATATTCCAATGTAGTGCACAGGCATATCACTGACTCCAATATGATTGTATTGTAAGAAATTCCACAAAAATTATATTTCGGGGCCACTATTTGCCCCTTGCAAATAAGTTAAAAAAAACACCACACATCCCTGCAAGGTATATGAACAATTTAGCTCAATAACATTTCACATATATTTACTGATCAGGAGAGGGCAAAGCTGGGTGAGAAACTCTGGGAGTTGAATTCCACAAGTCTTTAAGTTGCCAGAGTTGAAGACTCCTGGTATAGATAATGAAAGAATCAATAACTCTTTATGGAAGAAAAATATCCTAGGCAAGGAGACTCTAGTATAAATTAGTTTTCAGGGGATGCCTGTTCAACCTTCACCTGAAGGCTCCAGAACAGGAGAACCATTACTGGTCAAGGTTATTGGTTTCAGTGGCAAGTTACTCTTATTGTATCCATATCCTTCTCAGTAACTTGAGCTCATTAAATTTAGTCCTGTCCTCTGCATCAACTGACAAGGAGCATTTGTCCTTTCCTACATGACAAACCTTCAGGCTTTTGAGAGTGATATTGTATTCCCTTTCTTTTACAGCCCCTGGCTCAGCTTCTAGTCCCTTCACATTTTCCTCATAAGATTTATTTTCTTACACTGCCTTTATTTTCTTTCCCTGAACTCATTCTGCTGTTCCTACTAAGGCTGTGCAGTTGTGATATTTGATGGTGATTCAACAAAAGCATTCAATTGAAAGCAGTCCAGCAAAGGCAGTCTAGGGGAAATGGGTGGTTTAGAAATATGAAATGGAAATAAATAAAATTAATAAAAGCAATGCAACACTCTTCCTCTATTACTAAAAGCAAAGCAAAGCAGCTGTACTGTTCTCTTTTAAGTGTTCCTGAGGACTCCATCTGTTTCTATAGCCAGAAGAAGCATCCAAGTGACACAGTGTTCCTTGTTAAGGCAAACTGCATCTTGCAGAAACAAATCCAACCTCCTTCTCACAGGCCTAATTTCTACATCTTTCTACTTGCTTACTTACTTAATAGAATTATAAGATCATGGAGTTGAGCACTGAAGTCTAATCACAGATGTCTACATCCAGTTAGGATTGATGGCACACATACAGTGACATCATGATGCAAATTACATAGAGTATTACAGGCAAACTCTGCCCACAGCCTGGAGTTCGATCCTGACAGGGCTCAAGTTGATTCAGACTTCCATCCTTCTTAGGTCAGTAAAATGAGCGCCCAGATTGTTGGAGGCAATACGCAAATAATGCTTACATTGTAAACCGCCCAAAGAGTGCTGTAAAGCACTATGAGGAGGAATACGGTGTAAAACTGAAT